AAAGAGAGAGAGAGAGAGAGAGAGAGAGAGAAAGAGAGAGAAGGGAGTAACATGAAAATTACCTCAGTGCCACCACCAGTGTTGAGCCGACCAACCTCACCACCGCTAGCAGTTATTCTTTCACGCCTGTTTCATCAACAATCAGAAGGCCGGAATATAAATAAAAATGATTCATTCATTGCATCAGGTTAAATAATAATACCATTTTTTATTAAGTAAATTACAATAATCTCTTTCAGCTTTGTTTTCTATAACAGCAACCCCCACTTGAGGATGAGATACTTAAAATGGAAACTTATAACTTATGTTGAAGTGTATTAACTTAACATGATAAAATGGTTTTTCTATAACTAGGCTAAACCTTGTCTAGCTTATAATTAAGTAAAGAAAAAAAAAAAACTACTAACTCTTCTTCACTGCATTCAAGTCTATGATCTGCTGACAGGTAATATATACCCCCCTCAGCAGACTCAAGCACGGCACGAGAATCACCAACTGATGCAACTGTTATGATCCATCCTTCGATTATTACAAAAGTCACAGTTGTTCCCGAAGTTTTTGCTGATACAACACCGAATCAGTAAGTGCATAGACATTTGCATGCAAGAGAAGGAGAGATAATGAAGTATGCAATTTAATGTGATGATAGCAGGAAATCCAAAAAACATTTAATGTAACAGAAGAAAGATTAATTACTAGAAAACTACACCCGGAATCGCCCATGTGGGCCATGTCATAGTTGGATCTCATAAAACTACAACAATTTTCAGTTTAAAAACAAAAGAACCTCAGCTTACTATTAATTGTTGAGTACATGCTTACCAACATGTGAACTTGTAGTATAGGTAATAGGTTATCATGGTTTCAACACGAGAAAAACGAAAGGCAGACTTCAACATCATTTTAGTTGAAAATGCTAACGGGAGCCAAAAACGTCCATTCATTTGAACAGATTCCTGTCTTGGCATAATATTATGAAACAAAACACTAATTTAACCCTATTACAAATTCCAAATGGATAAGGTAACTATCACTAGCTATAGATCAGATATCCGATTCTCCATATAAATATGTTATCTTTAGTACACAGCTAGAATAAGGTAAGTATCGACCTTGTCATGCATTGTTTCCGAAACAATTGAAATCATTTATGATACTAGTTTAGATGCAGTGAAAGTCAAATTGATGTGAACAAACTAGACAAAATAGCTCAACAAATGCCATCAGAACTTGATTCGGGATGACTGGTTCTAGTAACATTTCATACCTCTCTCCTGAAAATCTTTATCTGTTTTCACAAACCCTGCCACCAAAGCCCGAGGCAGTGCCGAGACCCACTCATCACTGTTAAGATCCGGAGGAATAGCACTTAATACATTGTTCAATAGATTCTCTTTGGAATATATAGCAGCTGCGGACCCATTATGACCATCAAACAACTGTAAGGAAATTTGGAAATTACAACTGTCAGAAGAAAGCAAAGGATATGAAGTTACAAGATTCAGCATGCATAACCAAAGTCTTTCATTTTGTTTTACAGTACCTCGAAACTACATGTACACGTAATTCTTACTTTAAGAATCCCTTGTCAATGAGATCTCATTTCTAAATTCTAGATTCTCCTTGTGACGATTGTTTTCTAATGCAAAATTAATCATAACACAAACATTAACAAGAGGGTTTTGAGGTATCACATTGTCCAGTCAAAAACAAGACAAAGGATGACATTTTTAAGAATTAAGATTATGTGATATCTCAACATATATTGATGTTTCTATAAACACATACAAAACAAGTCATTAATGCAACAATAAAAAAAAAAAAAAACAACATCCTCATACCGCGAAGACAGAAAATGTTGTGACTCCATCACCCAATACCCGTTGACATTCGGTCTTGACAAACGTAAAATCTTCACCCTTTTTGCTCTGACTGGCCTGGCCGTGCAAAATTTCGGGCCTCTCGATCTTCTCATTGGCCAACTCCCGCTTTAACAACACCGACAATGGGACCGTGTGATGGTCACCACTCTTAGACATAATTTCTTGCCCCAGCCTCAATCCCAAGATTGCAAATGTATCAGGTTGGCTATTTATTTTCTTTTTTCAATATTTCTTTTCCCAAGATTCGAAAAGGCGAACCCTTCCACCGAATAAATCTTTGCCTTTTGCTGTTATCTACAATCCACTGAATACAATCAATACAAATCCAATGAAATTCCACACACACACACACACAAAAGGAAGAAAATTTAGCATCACAAAGAAATCAACACATTCACTCCACAATCTACGAATACCCTAAAGATGTGATATGATGTTAATATCATCTCACATTACAGCATATGGCGAATCGAATACATCACATCAGAACAAAAAAAAAGGCAAAAATTTGAGAAAACATAACAAAAAAAAAAAAAAA